CTTTTTGAAGATAAACGGGTCATGTTTCTTCAGACTTTGCTCTAAATTCTGTACTCTGGCATTAGGAATCAGTCTGCTAGCCTCTTTCTCCACTGCCTCCAAGGATTAAATATCCCTCACATTCAGTTTGCAATGGATCTAACCTTTAGGACTGAGATGAGGAGACATTTCTTTTTTTTTTAAATAAACATTCTCAGGATGTGGGCATCACTGGCTATTTATTACCCAGACGGCAGTTAAGAGTAAACCACATTGAGTCTGGAGTCACATGTAGGCAGACTCCTCCCCAGAAGGCAGTAGTGAACCAGAAGGGTTTTTCCGACAATCGATTTCATGGCCATCATTAGACTCTTAATTTCAGATTTTTATTGACTTCAAATTCTAATCATCTGTCATGGCAGGATTTGAACCCAGGTCCCCAGAACATCACCTGGATCTAATAGTCTGGCAATAATACCACTGGGCCACCATCTTCCCGGACCACACTTACTGGGGTATCCTCAGATCCCTAACAATAAAAATCAGACAATCTGTTCAGGATTAATGTTTATGGGGTGTTGCTGTTTACTAACCTTACAAAGTGGGCATAAAGTATTTTGGATTCTCCAAGTCACAAAGGCCACCATAAAGAAAAGAATTTCTTTTCTCTAAGTCACAATTTTTAGGGATAATATCCAACACTTAAAAAATAATTCATACAATGCGGCATCGCTGGCTAGGTCAGCATTCATGGCCCATCGGTAATTGCCCTTAAGTAGTTGGTGGTGAGTTGCCCTTTTGAACTGCAGCAATCACGTGGTCTAAGTACATGTTGAGTGCTGCTGGGGAAGGAGTTCCAGAATTTTAAACCAGCGATTGGTTTCAACTCAGAATGATGAGAGACTTGGAGGAGAACTTGCAGATGATGACATTCCTACACATCCCCTGTCCTCCTACGGAATAGAGATCATGTGTTCTGGAAGGTTTTTTTGAACACACCTTACTGAGTTGATGGTCTGCATTTTGAAGATGGACTAAACTGCTTGCATTGAGAGATGCTGGTGGACGGTGTGCACATTGAAAGTGTTTGATGGGTGGCCAATCAAATGGACTGTTTTGTCCTGAATGGTGTTGAGCTTCTTGAGTATTGTTGAAGCTGCACTCATCCAGACAAGTGGACAGCATTCCACCACACTCCTGATTTGTGCCTTGCAGATGGTGGACAGGATCTGGGGAGTCAGCGGCAAGTTACTCACCACAGAATTCCTAACCTCTGATCTGCTCTAGTTGCTACAATATTTATATGACTGGTTCAGTTCAGTTTCTGGTGAATGGTAACCTTCAAGATGCTGATAGTGGGAAATTCAGCAATGGTAATGCTATTGAATATCAAGGGCCGAGAATTGGTTTGCCTTGTTGGATATGGGTCATTGCATGACAATTTCTACTTGCTACGTATCTGCCTAAACATGTCTTTTGTCCAGGTTTTTCTGCATATGGACATGGACTGCTTTGACACGTGAGGAGTTATGAATAATGCTGGACATCATTTCAGCTCTGTTCATATGTCTATGTTCTGGCATTAGGGGCCAGTCTGTTAGCTTCTATCTGCTTAAGGCCTAATTATGTCAGAAGGTAAGTTGATGAATAAAACTGAACAAATGCAAGAGACCAGGACTTTATGACTGAGTTGAGGAGAAATTTCTTCACTCAGAGGATGTTGGTACATAGTTAGAGTATATTCAGGAATATGATTGCAATATGTTTAGACACTAAGGCAATGAAGGGATATGGGGTGGGGCAATAAGGTGGAGCTGAGCCAAAAGATGAGCTGTAACCTAATTAAATGGTTCTTTGTAACAGTGGAAGATGATTTTTAAAAATAGACAGCAGAAATACTATCAGTAGTTTCAAACTGAAAGGAAATTGCTAGAAGATTTACACTGAGATACAAGATTATTTGCTACCTCGTGCATATTAAAGATAGCTGCAGCTATCTTTAAGTTCCTTTAACTCTAGCATCAACGAACTTCAATGACACTTTGCACAAAATAGGGATTGCAGCCAAGTGAAGGTGTGAGGAATTGGTGTTCACTATGGAGAAGCCTCAGCTTGGACATTGGCTGTTAGTGGTCAACTTGCCTTCTTTGGCACTATAAAAAGGAAGAGATTTTCGCACAAATGGAAGTACATTATCTGGAATAAACTACTTCACTGTCTACCCTGCTAAATACCATAAGCTGATGCAAACAATAAAGATAAACTGAAACAACAAGGTGTGGAGCTGGATAAACACAGCAGGCCAAGCAGCCAAGGAGGAGCAGGAAAGCTGATGTTTCGAGTCTGGACCCTTCTTCAGAAAAGATCAGTTTATAGAGCAATTAAGTGACAAAGCATTTCAGATAGCAATCTCCCTTTGAGTGACAAACAACAATTAGGTCAAGAGTTGGCCAATTTGACTCACTCCACATGACATCAAGAAAAGGCGATGGTCCCTACAATACTTTGGCACAGTAATGAAGATCGATGTTCTAGAACTAATGGAGCCTCTAATCAAGCTGTTCCAGTACAGTTACAACAGTAACATCAACCAATGGGCCCAGCTATGCCCTGTCTACAAGTGTCAGGCAAATTCAACCTAGTCAATTACTGCCCTTGTCTACTCTCAATCCTCAGCAAAGTGATGGAGCATACAAGCAGATGAAACAGGTCACTCGGTCCTCTTTATTCCCCAGTTGCCTTAAGTTCTTGTTGGCAAGGGAATCTATCAACACAAAAAAAAACAAAACAACAGCAATTGCTGTAAATTGGAAACAAAAACAGGAATTGCTGGAAAAGCTCAGCAGGTCTGGCAGTATCCGTGAAGAAAAAAAAAGTTAACAGTCTGTGGAAGGGTCATTCAACCCGAAATATTAGCTCTGATTTCTCTCTACCGATGCTGACAGACCTGCTGAGCTTTTCCAGCAATTTCTTTAAGAACTAATCTACATCTGCCTTAAAAATAAGCAATGAGAACACGTGCCACATTCTGAGGCAAAGTTCCAACCTCTCATGACACTCTGGGGGGGGAAAAAATTCCCATCATCTCTATCCTTAAAAGATGACCAAATTCTGGACAGATCCATAACAGGAAACATCCTTCGCACATCCATCTTGTTAATACTGCTCAGAATCTTACATAATTCAATTAAGTCAACCCTCACTGTTCTGAGCTAAGTGAAAACAGGCCCAATCTTTTCTTATAAGACACGCTGCTCATTCCAGGCATCAATCAAGTAAACCTCCACTGAACTGCCTCCAACATATTTACACCCTACCTTATACAAGATGGCCAAAACTGCAGAGTGTTCGAGATGTGGTCTCAATGCCCTATATAATTGACTTTTATATTCAGTTCCTCTAGTCGTAAAGGATAAAATTCCATTAGCCTTCTTTATCACTTGCTGTATCAGCATACTAGCTTTTTATGACTTATCCACTCAAACATCTGGATCCTTCTGTACCTCAGAATTCTGCACTCACCATTTAAACAGCATTGTTCTTTTATTCTTCCTGTCAATGTGTACAACTTCACGTTTTCCTCCATTATACTCCACCTATCAGATTTTTGTCCATTCACAAACTATGTCTGTCTAATTGGTCTATGTCCTTGTTATGTCATCTTCACAACATACTTCCTGACCTGTCATGGTGTCATCTGCAAACTTAGCAACGATGTACTCAATCTCTACATCCAAATTATTGAAATAAATTGTAAAAAGTTGAGTCCAGCACAGACCCCTCTGGGACCCCACTCATCACATCCTGCCAATCTGAAAAAAAAACACTAATGCATATTCTCTATTTTCTTTCAATCAGCATGCTGACATATTTGCCCCTTACACCAACAGCTCCTACTTTGCACAGTAACTTTTTACATGGATCCTTTTCAGATGCCTTCTGAAAATCCTAGTGCAGTCCAACAATGGGATCCCCTTTACCCACAATACATTTTACCCTTTAAAAAAACTCCAATAAATTGGTTAAACACTATTTTCCTTTCACAAAGCCATGTTGAGTCTTCCAGATTACTTTGGTTATTTCCAAGTAGCCAGTTGTAACACCGTTCCCAAGACAGGCCTCGAGCTAACTCAGCTTTATTTTCCTGCCTCCCTCTTTTCTTGCATAAACGGCTAACATTCACTATTTTCCAGTTCATTGGAACCTTTCCATAATTTAGTGAATTTAGGAAAATTAGCACTAATGCATTGACTACTTTATCAGCCACCTCTCTCAAAATCATAGGATGAAATCCATCAGGAACCAAAGAGTCATCAACTCCAGCTCCTTCAGTTTGCTCAGTCTTGCTTCTCGAAGGATAATTTTAGCAAGTTCTCCTCCTCCACCAGCCTCTTGATATATAGGTTTTATTAGGATAGTTTTTGTATGCTCTAATATGAAGAGAGATGAAATGAACAAATTTTTCTTCTGCCATTTCCTTACCAACACCCCATTCTCACCCTGTTGATGGCCAACACTCTCTCTACTTCCTTTTATACCATTTTAGATACCAGTTGAAACTCTCACTTACTGTTTTCACATTTCTAGCTTCCTCTCATGCTCCAATTCATTTCTCCTTTTAGTCTTTCTCTGCAGTTCTTTGTATTCTGACCTGTCATCTGACTTGCCACTCCCTTCACACAATGATATACTTTTTCCTTAAGTTTGATGCTTTCATTAACTTTAGATAATCACAGATGGTGCACGCACCCTGTGAATTTTTTATAGTAGGAATGTACTTATTCTTCATACTCTGAAATATTCCTTTAAATGTGTGCCACTGATTCTCTACTGATCCATCTCCTAGTCTAAAATCCCACTTCACTACAGCTACCTCAGCTTTCATGCCCAAATAATTGACTTTTAAGTTAAGTTTAACATATTAATCATAGACCCACTCTTCTCCCTTCCAAACTGGATGTAAATTAGATTATATTACGATCTCTGCTAGCTAGAGATGCCTTTGAGGTGTAGTGTCTCACCCATAGCGAGAGCTGGACAAATTTTCCATGTCAGCAACATCAAAGGGAAGTTCCACGGAACAATTGCTGCAACAACACCTGAGTAAAGAGGAAGGAAAATGTTTGTTATACTACTTAATAGCAAAACAAGACAGTACCTTCAAAAAAATTTGCAATCCTCACTGTGTGGAACCCTGACATTTTTTCATAGAATTCTCATCTTTGAACAAGGTTTACATGCTATCAAATGTAAAAGCAAATAATTTAAGATTACACAAATGGGAGTTGGTTGGCATAGATGATCTCACAAAAAGCAAGAATGTACTATCTCTGCTGTCTGTAGTAATCCTCTCATCTACACAGTTTTAGATGATGAATGCTACTTATGTTCTTAAATGCTCAATGAGTTTGGAGCTGTCCCACCTCCTAGCACAAATGCTTATTCAGTTGAATTTGGCACTCATTTTTCAGCACCATGGAGGGACCACAAAGGGAGGGAGGTGTGGAAAATGGAATAGATCGCACTGGTAGAACAGGCAAGCTCCTCCAAGATTAGGCTGAATGGACAAAACCATGCATGATCCAAGTAGGCTTAATGAGGTAAAGTTAATTGTGTCTATCGTTTGTTGCAGCTGACCTGGGAGTCCTAAACGGAGCAGTGTAAAAGGAGATTACTGGCGTTTCTAAGTCATATTTTATCTCGTGTAATTTTATCAGAATGTAAACTAGGACATGACAAGAGACAGCCATGTACGCAGCCCATGTGGCACTTGCCCTGGGACTGTTTGACGGGAACAATGTGGAGGGAACTTTATTCTGTATCTAAACCCCATACAGTAAATGCCCTGGGAGTGTTTGATGGGTACAACGTTAGGAGAGTTGGACTTTAAATCCATGTTGCAGCAATGCTTGTTATGGATGTCTTTGTGGAAAGTGAAAGGTCAGCTTGGTTGGGGGTCGGGGCAGGTGGAATCACAAGATACAACCCAGTGTAGCTTTGATGCTTTCCTTTCATGATCAAACAGTTTGGCAACAAATCCTACATATCTCAGGCATTTGTAAGTCCTACTTCTGTTCCTACATCTTATGGTCTATTGGGGATGAGGCAGAAAAATGGATTTGAGGATTAACAGATCAGCCATGCTCTCAGCGAATGGTGGAGCAGACTCAATGAGCCGAGTGGCCTACTTCTGCTCCTACATCTTATGAGTTGTGACTACTTGAATGGGGTGCACTGCTGGATCACTGGCATGTGACAGTGCACTAGAACACAAGTCACTGCCTTCAAACTGACGGAGAAACAGTACGTAACTAAACCAACAAAAACACTGTTGGTAGCAGCTCGCTAGTCAGGCAGTGCCCTGGAGACTCTGGTTCATCCTCTGCTGAAACAATCACATCACAATTTCAACAGTTTTGCTCTGCTATTTGCTGCAAAAATACAATCAGATCTTTCCCTCTTTCAAACCTTTAACATGTGTTCCAACATTCAGTGCTTTTTTGCAATCTCGTTTTGCACACCAGTTAGCAATACACTGAAGAAATACAAACAGCATTTCGTGCATGGGATGAGGAAATCTGAAAAGGGCTTTGGATGGGAGTTTGTACTAATCTCACTTAACAACCTCACTAAAGCTGAGTTCTGAAACTTAAGATAGCTGACTCAAAAATATATTTCCCGCTTGTTCTTTATTTAAAACACTTTCAGTCCGTTGCCTCCTCCTAGTGGTAGGAGGGAATAATAACACATGGCATAAAGTTATTTAGGAAATCTCAACATAGAGGCGAGCAGCGAGTGTCAGGGTGCCAGTTATATAGATTAACAGAGTGCAATTAAAGGAGGTGCCTTGGGAACACAGCTATCGTATGCATTATAAAGCATTGAACTGCTCTGCACAATGAGATGGTCTTCTGAGTAGCTGAGAGCTTGATAATCAAACATCTAATTGGAATGAACGATTTAGGAATTTGCATTCTTTCAGAATCTTTCCTAATCTTGTGATGCTAAAGGCACATTGTAGCCAATGAAGCATTTTTTTAAAACGTAGTTACTGCAGTGCACAGTAAGCTCTCACAATTAGCACTGTGATCAAGTAATTTTTCTAATAATGTAGGAATAGGGATAAATATTGACTAGGACACCAGGGGGTAATTCCACTGCCCTTCTTCAAAATAATGTCATGAGGTATTTTAAGCATCCAAGAGGACAGGTCTCAATTTACCATCCCATCTAGAAAGTGTTCAGAAAAGATTTACAAAGGTGTTGTCAGGGTTGGAGGGTTTGAGCTATAGGGAGAGGCTGGATAGGCTGGGGCTATTTTCCCTGGAGCATTGGAGGCTGAGAGGTGACATTATAGAGGTTTATAAAATCATGTGGTGCACAGATAGGGTGAATAGCCAAGATCTTTTACCCCGAGGGTGGGGGAGTCCAAAACTAGAAGGCATAGGTTTAAGGTGAGAGGGGAAAGATTTATTAGGGACCTAACCGGTAAACTTTTCTGTGCAGAGGGTGGTGCATGTCTGGAATGAGCTGCCAGGGGAGGTGGTGGAGGCTGGTTCAATTACAATATTTAAAAGACATCTGGATGGGTATATGAATAGGAAGGGTTTAGAGGGACATCGGCCAAAAGTGAATGGGATGAGGTTAATTTAGAATAGTGGAAGAGTTGGACTGAAGGGTCCGTTTCCGTGCTGTACATCTCTGTGACTCTATGTCACCTCGGACAGTGCCATACACATTCAATGCTGGAGTTGCAGCCTGAGTTACGTGTTCCAAAATACAGAGTAGACTTCGAACCCTCAAGCCTCTGACTCGGCAGCAAGTGCACTACCTATTCAGAGGTTTGTTAAAACAACAGTTCTCATTCTGAAATAAAGCCTATGGAACCGCTTTGATGAGAGGTCACAGACCTGAAACATTTACTTTGTTTCACCCTCAGCAGATGCTGCCAGACCTGTCAAGCACTTCCAGCATTCTCTGCTTTCTCTTATGTCAAATTTCTGGCATCCGCAGTACCATGCTTCTGCAGATCTTTGTCGAAGTGGTTTCTGTGTCCGTAGATGAACTCATACTGACCTACTGGCTTCCAGTTCTTCATTTCAACATCCATTAGCTGTGCCCACCCAGCATGGTGATAGAAGTGTCGTACCACCAATGGGACATCACAGTCTCGTGACTCACGGATTGGCTTCCCGTTGTCCAAGCTCTCCAGAACACTCAATAGCCTCTGGTGTTTCTGAACATTTCTGGCAACACTGCAAAGACAAAACATCATATAGTGACCACTCTGGCACACCATAGCTCTATGTCTCCAGTATTCCAAAATATATATTCCTGAAGCCACCCCACACATTACAGTTTGCAAGGATGACATGGACAGCGCAAGAGGGTTTTTCTTCACTGATTGTGTTTAGTAGGAGCATACAAGAATAGCTCCAGCCAATCTCATTCAAAAAAATACATTCAAACCCGGAGGAAAATTCAAATTACTGCTATAGCTATTATTTATCACCAATAATCTCAATTGGTAGAAGCCAATTACTTCAGTAGTTTCATGCACACTGCAGCTTCATTTCACATATTAAGACTGTAAATGAATGGATGTAAAAATGTACATGGGAACATCACTACTTGCAAATTCCCCTCCAAGCTCCAGCTGTCCTGACTTGAAACTGCACTGTTGTTCCTTCACCATCGTTGCAACTATATCCGAGAACTTCCTCCCTAACAGCACTGCAAGTCTTTCTACATCACAGAATGCAGCAGTTCATGAAGGCAGCTCACTACCACGTTCTCAAGGGCAACATGGGATGGTTGTGACACCCAGTAAATTGCTAAAAGAGTAATATCTCCAGTAATATTTCAATAGTGTTACATACATTACATCTCTCATACTATCAACACAGAAAGCAATTCAGCTGCGTTAACTCTTCCAAAGACCAATGCAATTAGTCCCACTACCTGCTCTCTCACCATATTACTGGAATTGCTTTTAATCATTCAAGCATATATAGGATTCCCTTATGAAAACTACTGTACTATTGAATCTGCTTCAGTCACATGATAGACAATGGATTCCATATACTAGCCACCTTTTGCATAGGAAAGTCTTTTTCCTCCTGTCATCTCTTAGGGGCTCTTTTCCAAATCACCTTACATCTTTGTCCTTTGTTTATAAACATATCTATCCAATCTGCTGTAATTCCTGGAAGGAGCGAACAAGCACAAGTGCATGTGTTTTTGCATTCATGCAAGCGCCTGTCATTGGGGGCTGGGGTAACAGAGCGCGACAGACAGCGTGAGATCTCATATTTGGGATTAAACGTTAAGGTTGCAGTTGGAGCTCTGATGCACCACAGAATGGTACTTGCAGTATCAGCTCAACATACTTGCATCGCTGTACAAGTTTACTGTAGCTGCTAATGGCACCTGTGATGCTGACATCAGCTCAGTAATTTAGTATAACGAACTACTGGATGTTCCTCAATTGCTGACTATGTCAAGGTTCAAAGGCTGAATGGCCTCCTCCTGCTTCTACATTCCTAATAAACAGCCAATGACTTAATCATCCAAGAGTTGGTACCTCTACTTAATTGCTAACATTGATTTGGGGCTCAGTATCTGCCCAAAACTCTCAGCCAATTATATTAATGAGACTTGGTAAAACGGTTGAGCACTGAAATATTTTAAATAACTCAACTTTTCTTCCTGTATATCCAATAAAATAAATCTCTGTAAAGAGCTTGCTCATGAAAACAGTGCAGAGACACTAATTAAGCAGACAAGTGACCAAGACAGTGCTTAGCAAAGCTGGAAATTCAAAAAATCCTTTGCACAGTAAGCAGAACCAAATCCCAGCATGCTGATTACCTTCCAGAAGGAACTGGGCAAAACTGGTACAAAAGCAAAATACTGCAGATACTAAAAAAGCTAAAAATGCTAAAATAAACAGCAGGCCAGAAAACATGGGGTGACAGGAAAAGACAGTAAATGTTTCAAGTCAATGATATTTCAGCAGAGCTGTCACATTCATCAAGGTCACAGGTCTGATGAAAGATCATTGACCTGAAATGCAAACTCTGTTTTTCTCTTCACTGATGCTGCCTGGCCTGTTTAGTGTTTCCAGCATTTATTGCTTTTATAATCAAATTAACATTTTGACAACAATTGGGGCTAAAAGGTGTCATTGTTGCTGCTGAGCAGAACATCCTAGCCTCAGTTCCCAAGTTCAGCAAAATTTAGGGCTAAATGCTCACTGCACCGTGGTCTAAAGGCCAACATGAGACTGCCTGAACTTATTTTAAACAGCACCTGTGTGTGAATAAAGGGGAATTTACAATGCCGTAGCCTAGGGACTGAATTCAAACGCACATCCCACATTGTGACTTAGTGCCTTGTTCCAGTAAGCAACTGAGTATCATACCTGTATAGATGTCTTGCTCGCACATGACAAGGCAGCTTGCTCCAGGACTCATAAGCCCCCTTGGCAACTTTAACTGCCAGCTCTATGTCCGCTTCCTCACCCTCAATGGTGTTGGCCAAAGGTTCCCCTTGAAAGAATAAAATATTTTCGATGAAAGATTGCTGCCTTAGTTGGGCATGGCCACAGTAACAGGAGGCCATTCAGCCTCTGCAGTTTATTCCACCAGTCGATGAAATCACGCTTTATTCTTGTCAAAGCTACAGCCACTTTGTAACTCCATTTACTTGCCTTGGTCCCGCATCCTTTCAGGCACATTGCCAGATATTTGCTAGCTATCTCAGATTTAGAATGGTTTATTTACCTTGCAGCTTCTCATTTTACAGGAGAGCTCTACACATCTACCACACTTTTGTGAGAAGTGTATCCTAATTTTGGTCATAAATAGCCTGGCTCTGATATTAATGTTATTTCTCCTTATCTTAGACTCCGCCACAAGCAAAATAAAAAAAAGTGGTTTTTTCTATGTACCCTACTAATTCCTTTAAAAATTCTCCCTTAATCACAAGTAATAAGATACATAGTCTATGAAAGAACTGCATTGGACATCTACACCTGTATTTCATCCCACCCCATTTATGGGCAGCACGGTCACTCAGTGGTTAGCACTGCTGCCGCACAGCACCAGAGACCCAGGATTGACTGTGTGAAGTTTGCATGTTCTCCCCATGTCTGCATGGGTTTCGTCTTGGTGCTCCAGATTCCTCCCACAATCCAAAGATGTGCAGGTTAGGTAGACTGGCCATGCTAAATTGCCCTTGATGTGCAGGCTAGGTGGATTAGCCATGGTAAATGCAGGATTATGGGGATAGGATGGCATGCTCTTCGGGGTACTGACTCAATAGGCCAAATGGCCTATTTCCTCACTGTAGAAATGCTATGATTTTAAATCCTGCTGCTGAAATCATATTCATGTTTTTGTTCAACTCCTCTGATGCTCCTTTCAAATGTCATCCTATTGTCCACACTGTATAAATATGATTTAATTCAGATACCCATATTCTAATTTACACTGTTCCATTCACCTATCACTCATGCTTTCAGATTTACATTTACATCGACTATATTATGATAGAAACACAGCACCTGCATGACAACACTACTCCCTCAGTACTGCACTGAGGTGTTAGTCTAGTTGTGTGCTCAAGTCCAGGAGTGAGACTTGACCTCACAATCTTCTGACACAGAAATGAGCCACTTTCTTCCTTCTCCACGAAAAGTAGCACATATTATTGCACTCCATACTGTCTATTATAATCTCAGCAAACAACCATAGGTTGTTTAAAATTTGTATTGAAGCTGATTCTATAACTCTCAAACTGGCTGTACAGTATCAGACAGGATTCCATCAACTATCCAAGTAAGGGAGCTGGTAGAGGTTTACCCTTCCATCGTGTATTGTGCGTTGATAGAAATGAATGCAAAAGCACATTTGAGTGGAACAATGCCAAATAGGAATGAATCGCTTGGTTCACCAAATGTGCATATTGAAGCAGGAGTTACGCACAAGGCCTGGGGGCTTTAAGTTCCAGGAACAAAAAAAATGTTTCAGAGATAGTAGGAACTGCAGATGCTGGAGAATCGGAGATAACAAGATGTAGAGCTGGATGAACACAGCAGGCCAAGCAG